AATTTAGTTACTCAAGTGGGGATTTCAGGTACCAAAACAGGCAATATGCAGGATTCATTCCTGGATGGTGGGGATCTTCTGACATCCCTCAATGAGCATCCTTGCCCTGAAATGCATACAGGTGGGCCTATATAAATGAGGTAAAGAGGTTACAGATGAATTATAATTTATATCCTTTGGACTCTGCTCCAGCCGGAGGAGAACACAAATTGGTATAACCTATCTCTGCTAAGGAAAAATAACAGTGACTTTTAAAGATATTTCCCCTTTAATTGTAATCTAGTAATACTCTACTTTGAACAACTTGTTTTAATTACATATGCAGGAAGCAGATCAGACAATGGTCATAAAATCTCTTTCTCTGAAACAAATTATGTATGTGTCTGTATACTCACTCTCACACACCTTGTGAAAAGTTACTTAATACCATTTTATATCAGATTCTTCATCTGTACAATTAGGATAGGACTGTAACCTACCTTACAGGGTACTGGGTGAATTAAATGAAATAATGTATATAAAGTATCTAGTCCAGTATCCTGTGTCATATTTTCTTCTCTTTGCTCATTAATAATTTGTCATCTGGACACTCTGGTAGGAAATAATCAGACTCTGAATGTAATGCAATACCAAAGGAAATCGTAAATGAAGGGAAAGGTATGTAGAGGGAAAAAATGAGGAAAGAGAAGTCTAAATACGCATTACCAACTTGACTCCATTTTTTCATAAAATGTTGGTCAAATTTGTCAGTTCAGCCAATTCCTTTCCTCCCTTCACACATCATATAAACACAGCTACAGAAATTATATAATCTTTTAGAAACAGAGGAGTTTAGCTGGGAGGGTGTATACCTATAGCCTGGGAGGCCCTGTGTCATTCTTATAATGAGAACCTTGGGAAAAAAATTTGTTGTTGGATTTGTGAATCAGAGGAATTCAATCCTGTCTGTCAAGGTCGACACGGTATTTGTCTACTTGCGGAGATGGCTTACTTGGGATGGTTTCCCTGTGACTTCACTATTCTTGCATTTTCTCATCAGTTAACTTTTAGTGGATTTCCCTTCAATCTCTTTTCTCTGTGATACATACATGCACATACATACACATGAATATAATGTATCCTTGTTATTTGAAAATACAGATTTGTGGTGTCTTAACTTTTTCACATAACATTCTATCATGAATATTTCCATTTTCATTAAAAATTCTTAAGTATATCATTTGCTGAGATTGTAATTTAGAGTGGCAGCATTATTTTTTAAAATTATATTATTAGATTTTTATAATTTATGTTATGGTAAAATAATTTTGTCCATAAAAATTAATCTTCACCTCTGATCATTTCTTTAGCATTGATTATTTGAAGTAGAGTTTTGGGTTAAAAAGGACAAGTTATTTTTAAAGCTATTGAAATACACTGTCAAATTGCTATACAGAAAAAGGATAACAACTTAGTCTCACCAGGAATGTGTTAGAATCCCAAGTTTTTTCTCATCCTTGATGGTACAAAGCATTATTTTGTTTAAAATATTTTGCTAATTCATGGGTCATTTTTGCAATGTGAAGCTGATTGTATCTGTTGGGAAATATTCTGCAATGGATTCTAGAATAATTATATAAACTGTAAGAGAAAAGTCATGCCATTTCAGCTTAATTAGGCTAGCTGACATGTTATTTTCTAATGCTAACTGCATAGTATGCATTTTGGTCGCTACTGGGCTAGAAAGGAGACTGTTAAGCTCTTTATAGTAATGTTTGTAATACATTTTGATTACTCTCTTTATTTTATCTTAAGTTTTTCCAAGGAAACATCTTCATTTAAAAGATCTTTATTTCAAGTAGTATGTTTTTACCTCTTATGAAAAAAAACTCACAGATACTCAGAAAAAGCAAGTAACCCTTCTCAAGATAAATACTCTTCTTCCCACCTCCAATTCTCCTACTTAAAAGTCAGAATAGATTTCTGACTTTCTCTTAGAAATTGCCTTATTTATCTACTTTAATTTCCTAGAACTAAGCTGAAGACTGGTAATAAAGTTAGTTAAACAGGAGGCAAATGAATATTTAAGGATCAGCATTTATGGTAACAATTTTAGGCAAATTTGTGATTTAACAGAGTTCATCTTTGGTCTTTACTCATCAAAAAAATTATTGGAAACCTACTATGTGCCAGGCATTTTGCAATATGCTGTCACTATAAAGCGAAAAATATATAGACAATCCTGACTTTCCAAGGGGTCACCAATTAATAGGAGGAACAGACTTACGTTATTACAGTAATATTCTAAGTGCCTATACAAGATACAGGTGTATGGCTTAGCAGGAGCCTGGAAGAGGAGGTAGCCAGCTGTCTAGACTGGTAAAGAGGTAATGTGTAAGAAGCATCCTGAAGGATGAGTGGAATTTGTCAGCTTTCATGGTAAGAGGGTGGCAGTGGGATATTCTGTGCAGAAGGAGCAGCCAGGAACTGGAACAGAAGCAAGGCGTCACACTGTGAAAGACACTTGGAATTCACTGAAAGGTTGTAGGCAGGAAAATGACTTAATCTTATTTTTGCTCCAGAAAGATCTATAGAATGGTCAATGGATGATATTTGTGTGGGACTGGGGTAAGGGGGGCCAAGTTGCAAGACAAGATGTAGAGATACTGTTTAAAGGGACAAGACATTCTGATGGTCTAAGCCTATGCCTCTCAAACTCTAGTATGCATCAGTATCATCGGGACAACTTGCCATAAAACACAGGTGATCAGGGGCTATGTCCCCACATTTCTGGATTCAGTAGGTATGGAATGAGGCCTGAGACTTTATGTTTCTAACAAGTTCCCAGGTGACTTAGGGTGACTTCCAGGTTTTTGATTTAAGCTATTGGGCATCCTGGGACCAAAAAACAGAAGAAGGGAAGTACAAAACAAGTGCTTCTTTCCCCAGCAATCACCCTTCCTTTTAGATGCTGTTTCTGGAGTTCTCTAAGATTTACATACTACCCACTGGTCATCTCCCTCCCTATGAGCAGCATCTCATGCTGCTGAACTCTAACTAATCTCATTTTAATATCCCTGGCTTATGTTTCCAGGATCCAGCTCTCTGTTCGCTTATGATAGATCCAAATGGACTAATGTGTCATTGATCATGAAAATGGGAATTTGATGCTCCTCTAGGCTGAAAAGTTTCTGCTTTATAGTGGTCTTCCTGAAACTCCACTTCAGCTCAATTTAGTGACTCAAGTGGGAATTTCAGGTACCAAAACAGGCAATATGCAGGATTCATTCCTGGATGGTGGGGATCTTCTGACATCCCTCAATGAGCATCCTTGCCCTGAAATGCATACAGGTGGGCCTATATAAATGAGGTAAAGAGGTTACAGATGAATTATAATTTATATCCTTTGGACTCTGCTCCAGCCGGAGGAGAACACAAATTGGTATAACCTATCTCTGCTAAGGAAAAATAACAGTGACTTTTAAAGATATTTCCCCTTTAATTGTAATCTAGTAATACTCTACTTTGAACAACTTGTTTTAATTACATATGCAGGAAGCAGATCAGACAATGGTCATAAAATCTCTTTCTCTGAAACAAATTATGTATGTGTCTGTATACTCACTCTCACACACCTTGTGAAAAGTTACTTAATACCATTTTATATCAGATTCTTCATCTGTACAATTAGGATAGGACTGTAACCTACCTTACAGGGTACTGGGTGAATTAAATGAAATAATGTATATAAAGTATCTAGTCCAGTATCCTGTGTCATATTTTCTTCTCTTTGCTCATTAATAATTTGTCATCTGGACACTCTGGTAGGAAATAATCAGACTCTGGACATCTTTTGAAAGGTACCACTGTTTGGAATGAGTGACGTAGTACTGACATCACACTGATCAAGGTGTACTCAAGGAGCCGACAGCAGACTTCCACAGGTCATTTTGCAAATACCTTCAGTGAATACTAAAGACTATTTTACTATAAAGGGTTGCTTCTTTTCAATCATATCTTCCTAGACTTCCCACTCTGTTTCCCTCATTCCTACTCCAATCCAATGTTATTGCATATTTGATTTTGATGTGGTCATTTGCTCATGACATGAGAAAATTCAACCCTTTTCTACATCAGGACAAGAAAAAGGATTAAGGAAAACCAAAAGAGCTGGGAGCACGTTGTGTTCTTGCCCTCACGTTCTCAGTTGTCAGTTCCGTATGTTCTAAATGATATCCTGGCTTGTTTTAATGTTCACAATATGGGAGTTTTTTCCTCACACCCCTTAAGATCTGGGCATAGGTATTTATAGGATCTGATTAGAACAGAGTAGTATTTATTGAGTATTCATTGCATAGGAACTCTGCAAGATCTATATTGCTACTTATATCCCTGTACCCATTCATTCCCATATCTATACCATTATCAATATCCCCTGAGGAGTTTTTATAAAATATTTAGAAGAAGGAATGTAGGACATACCTTAATTATTCCTTGTCATGAACACTAAAAAAAAAATTGGTTTTCCAGCTTTAGAAAGGCATTATTTTCAAGAACCTGATGGATTAGATTTCCCATTATTTGTTAAGTTCCCCGCAGAACAAAATCTGGATGGATGGGAAATGTGTGTCTAGAAATTTATTTCTAAATTCATTTTATTGATGTTACCCTGCTGCCCCCTCACCGTCTCCTGACTCAGCTAAAGGATATATGGCAATAGCCAGTCTATATTAAAATATATGTCCAGAGAAAACCTCAAAAAAATACTGTGTAGGGCAAAAAACTAAAGTGGAAATCATTCATAGGAAAATTCAGTAAATACTGCTTCACTTCAAGGATCAAAAACTTGAGCTGGTACTAGGATCAGGCTCGATTTCTGTACTTCCTGGAAAAGCCCCAAAGAAACGTTTGCATTTTAAGTTGATGCTTCCATAGCTTAGTTTATCAAATGTGTTCATCTTTATAAGTTTGGTAGGTTTTACCTGTGAACGTGGGCTCAGCTCAGATGTTCTTGTACTCACCAGTGAATCTTATGATCCTTCGGAGCAAGGGGTTCAGGTAACAGCATTCTCCAGTCAGAATTGTTTTCTCCTGGGCAATCAGAGATTCTCTGGTTGACTTTATGAAATACATGGATATCTCACCAATAAAAATCTGGAGAAGGAATGTTTAAGAAATGTCATGTCAGAGAACTATCTGATAAAAGAGACCAGTGGCTTAAAAACAATTTTTGAGGCTCCACAATCCTCTTAAAAGATATCACATTGGAGAGATGGAGTGTTAAATTGTAGTGTGCATTTAACTCCTCAAAAGAAGTAGAGAAAGTAATAAAATAATTGATAATTTCAGATAGAGTTCAGGCTATGACATTAAATTCATTTAAAAACATTAGTTGAAATAATAAATTTCAGTGGAATCTATGAGAAGGCTCATTGATGCTGGACTGAATTTTTTTTTTAGCTGAATGTGTGAGTTGCAATGATGAGAAATCACTGGGATAGCCACTGGGCCCAACATGGCATTATAAGCACACATCACAATAAATTAGTACTTCATCATGTAGGCATATATTATCTACATGATAAATCCTCATTTGAAAATGTTTGCCTGAGCTATACTTCTTCTACTCTGAGTTGGTTGGTGATCTGTTCTTTATGACAGGGACCTCTTGTTATCTTGAACTAACATATACAAATTACCATTTAAATTATAATGCCTTTTGCAGCAAGTTCTCTGATGATAGAGAGCTTATATTTCTTCATTATGCTTACAGCAACCAGCACAGTATATTCCCATTTAAAATAAGGAATTGGCACAAGGCAAGTTGTCACCAACTCTGATACAGCCATAATTGAAGACTGAGAATAATCAGTGAAGAATATATAGTTAATAAGTACCAACATCTATTGAAAACTGGGTACCAGGCACTTTACTGTAGTATTTTCATGCTCACAAGATCCCTAGCATGCATATTACTACCCTTGCTTTACTGGTGAAGAATGGAAGTTCAACAAAGTTAAGTAACTTTCCCTCCAGAGCAAACAACTGGCTTGTGGAGGCACTGAGATTGGTACCCAGGATGATTGGGTTCCAAAGACAACACTTCCCACCACATCATATGCCATTTTCATTTTCCTAATCCTTAGTTCAACATTTTCCCTGAAGAATGTGATCTTACAGATGTTCTTCTTTGCTAGGCATATGCTTGTGATTTTGGATAAACTTTAACAAGTTTAAGAATCCTCACGCCTTATGTTCCTCCCATCATTACAGAATATCTGATTAGATGGGTAAAGATGGCAACATCATAAATGGCACGTGGGTGATAGAAATTGAACTACAGAATTATAAAACTGGTATCATCTATAGATGTTTTCCTCTTTGTTTTTTTAATGAGTGAGGACACTGAAGGTCTCAGGGACTTGACCACCCACAGCCAAATACCATCTGAAGCAGCTCTAGAATGCAGAATACAAGTAATGCTGTTATCCTGAGTGTACAGATAAGACACCAAAGGCATAGAAGAGGTAAGTAATTTGTCCAAGGTCATCAGAGCCATTAAGTCACAAACCCCAGCTCTGAAGCTGGGAAAACCTGGCTCCAGAGTCCCTCCTCTTAACCACTACACTTTTACTCAGTAATGACTCAATAAATATATTTGTTGAATTTGTATTTTATATTGAGAACATAGAAAACAAAACAAGTTAAGTGCAATATACTTTAAACACTGAAAAACGCATGGTTATTCAGTTCAACATAGAATGATGCAGTGGAAATAGAACTATTGGCAAGTCAGAAAGGGGTGCGAGGTCAGTAGAATAGACACAGTTCAGAGTCAGACAGGTAACCAATGGGCCAGCATGGATCCCCTTGGCAGGGGCTGTCTAGGTGTGGTTGTGCAGAGTTAGAAATGCTTTGTGCCTGACATCCTTTGAATTAACAATGAGTTCGTGTTCTGCCATGTACCAATATTTGAATGTCTTCAAGAACTCGGCCCTCCCTCCTTGCTCATAAGACCTATCTCTGCCAAAATAAGGTGCCAAGGGCTTTGTTTGTCCTCCTGTACATGATGGAACCACATCACTGTTCTTTATCTTAGTGAACTGATGGGGATAAATGCATGCAGGCTGGGCTACATGAAAGATTTCCTTAAGGGAGCTTTCTCTCATCCCACAGACTAGCTTTGGGTTTCTTGTTGCACATGAATCTCTTCCCTGGGTTTTCTCCTTCACATTTCTTATCACAAATGGTTACATATTATCACTGTCATTCTTCATTATGTGATGTTCTGCCTGCCTTATTCTCAGTGACACCCCAGGGCTTAGCCCACAATACAGAACATAGCAGTTATTCAATGTTGAGTAAATTAAGCATATCAGATTAATGAAGGTCTTTTGGAATACAAGTTTAGTGAGGTGGGCTATAAGGAAGGAAAAATGATTTCTATTATTTATCCTTCCAGACCCAGTGAAAAAGCCTCTAGCCTCCCCAAAGCCTCTGCCAGTCACCCTCAGGAAGCGAGACCCTGTCTTGTCACTACTCCTACACACATTATGAGATCTCTATCCTGACATCTACCCAGTTAGCTGAAATTACCATTTGTATGTCCCTCTTCATTTGATTTTGATGTCCTATGGGCAGGACTCCTGCCGTTCCTTACATGGCACCAAGAACAGGGATGGGTATACAGTAGGCTTGGTCAATGTTTGCTGAATGAACTGAAGACTGAATCTCTAGAGGACCTACTTACAGACAGAAGATGAACACTGCAGGAAATTCCCAATACAGGTCAGGAAGCACTCAATTCTTGGTGTATTGCTTAGGAATAAATAAAAACCAAGGACTAAATAATACAAAGGGAACTATCTCTTTTAAACTAAATCCACCCATATGCTCATTTTGCATTCAGCAGTTTTAGAGAGGGAGCATCCACTCTGCCAGGAGTTGTTCCAGAGTTAGAGATAAGCCGTGAACAGATGCCCAGTGAGGGGGAACACGAACTAATAAATACATCATGAAATGTCATGAAATGACATGAAATGACTTTGACTAAAAAGTATATCAGGGAAATTAGGATGCACGGTGACAAACATGTGAGAATAAATAAGAAAATAAATAAGCCTTCCTTGCCTCCAGCCATTTGAGAAGGCCCAAATATTCTTACACCACAGAAAAGAGATGTGCAAATTCTAGTTCTCCATTCAGTGATGCTTTCTATCGCTCACAAAGAGAAAAATGCATGAAACACAAAGAAAACAAGAAAATGTTTCTTATATAAAATGAAAGAAAATGCATGAGAATATCTACACACAACCTATTCTTGTTAAAAATACACATGTGCACAAAAGTCTAAACAACATCAGTCCAAGGCATGCATACCAGACCAAACAGTACTTGTCATGCAAAAAGGTATGGGGTTCAAATAAACCCACGGGTGAAATATCCTAAGCCTCCCACACCAAAGGTGGTGAGCAGTAGTACAAAAATTATTACTATTGGCCAATATTCAAATCCTAACTGAAGTATAAGCATAAAAGGCAAAAAAATCAAAGCAAGGATATACACTAACATACATGTATTTAGTTACTGACATAATGCCTGGAATGTATGAAATGATAATCAGTGTTTACATAAGGAAGAAAGGAAGGAAGAGAGGGAGGGAGGGGGTCATTTTATAACTAAAAGGTAGGAAGATATTCCTGGTGTTCAGTTAAGACTGTGGTGGCCATTAAAGGAAATAATCCCACTCTCCGATCACAGTGAGTGGGCTTCACAGATGTTCACTTTCTTGCATTGTACTGACCACATACAGGGTACTATTTCTCCATCCACTGGGTTCTATAGTCTCAGAATACAAGGCCTGGTTCTGTGTGGAGAGAGGGGGTGGGGGGAAGGATTCTGTTTGATAAGGGAAGGGGTCTTTCTTCCCCTCTGCCAGACCTCCTGCCCATTTGGATGCCATTTTGAACATTGTGGCAGATTTATGACTCCAGTTTTGGCAATAGCTGGGATCCACCATCTGTATCTTTGCCACACACACTCTGCCTCTATTCAGAGGCCCACTCTGTTCAGAGAGCAGCTGGGGCATGCATGATTCTCTGTGTGTTCAGCCTAGCTGCCCTGCCTATTATGGTCTTTCTGATTGTTGGCTAACAAATATCTTATCACTCATAGCAAATGAGATGACCCTCCAGTGAGAAGTGATGAAGGCCAAACTTGAGATCTGGCAACGAATGAACTGTAAATGTATTCCATTGGTGCATTTCTCATCCCCCAGCTATAACCTCGGGTAACATAAGACATTTAGATACTAGTAAATACAGTTTAAAGAACCAACTGTTCCTTCTTGATAAGGTTGCCTTTCAAATATGGAAACCCAAATGGCAAATAAATAAATGTCCCTGGAATGTAGTGTGCATCAGTTTAGTGTGTTCTCTTTTAGACTTCATTCTTCATGATGTTTTAGAGGCAATCTGGTGAGTGATAAGTAAGTGGTGTAAATGCAAAATGTTTAGGGGACAGTTTTTAGGTTTCAAAATATAAACAGTCTGTAGAAAAAAACAGTCACTAGGAGATGTATTATAACTTCACACTGTAAGGGGATCCCCTGTGTGTTGTATGTGGTCATCATCACAAAGGCCATCTAGAGTTCCTGCAAGGTATGTTTTGGGCTCACACACATGCTGGCTGTACACTGGTTCTGCTTTCTTGACAATATCAAAGTCACTGCTGTTTCTTGAATGTGGACTGTAGAACCGAAATTCCAGCTCTCTCCCTTCTTGTTATGTGACTTTGGTCAAGTAACTGAAACTTTCTGAGCCTCAGTTTTTCTTTTTTTCGTGATTTTGCATGTGATGTCAAAGCATCTCTAAGGAATAAGGAATGGAGGAATGCCTTAACTTCCTGGTCTGTCTAGGCAGGAATGTGTGTTGAAATTGATGAAAAAATAATCAGAGTCCCTAGCCGCAGAGTAAGGAAGCCTGGGGTGGCTCCAGCTCTGCTCCGCCCCTAACAAGGTGTCTCCTCTGGGGCCTGCTGGTCGACCTCCCTGTGTCTCAGTTTCTCATCTGTCAATTTGTTTGTTTCCCCTCTGTTGGACTAGGAGACCTTTAAGGTGCTTTTTGGTTTTGACTCTTTTCCTTTGTCACAGGAAC